GGGGAGAGCAGCCACAGTTGGGAAATTCATCCGGTGCCCCCTCCCACACTCCCCCAAGAGCCTCCTCCTGGACCCACCACTCCTCGGTGGCAGTACCCAAGCCAGGCTCAGGCTCACAGTTGTCCAGCTTGTCCTCCTCTGGATCGAAGGGGATTATCTCTGCAAGGAGAGCAGTGCCATGGGCATGAGGAGAGCTGGGACCTGCGCTGCCAGGAGCTCCTGCTTCCCCCATTAGCTGGCACAAAGGTTCAGAAAGCTTCAGCAGTGCCAGCATCCCTGGCTGGGGAGGTGGGATGTGGGAGTCCCAGGAAGAGACCTGGGATGCTGCAAACTGCAGACTCCTGGCTCTCCTTACCCAGAGCTTCCTCTTCCTCATCCTTGAGGATCTGGATCTCCGTCTGAAAAGTCAAACAGACTGTCACACACCTGGCAGTGGAGGCATGCTCATCCCGAAAGGGAGAGACTCCTGCCCTTTCCTCAAGGATGAAACCCATGCAGGGCAGATTTAGTGCTCCCAGTTAGCACTGGAGAGTGACAGGAAGGAGGAAAAAGAAGAAGAAAAGCTAAACAGAGCTAGAAGCCCTGATATGTGAGACCGTTGCCTGGATCTGTCACCTACCTGATCAGGAACGTCGATGCTTGTCTCGAAGCTCTTCCCAAGTGCCTGCAGCGTCCCTGGGGCTGGGACTGGCTGGGGAATCACCTTCTCCAGCCCCTGGGAGAGCCAGGAGAGCACACTGCTCCCCACGCTGCCAGAGAAGGGGGCAAGTCAGGCTAGGGAACCCTCATCCCAGGCATCCAGCCCCAAAACTGAGAGCAAAATCCCAAGCAAGCTATGCTGTACACTGGACGATGCAATGGCAATACCTCTCAAATACAGAGCCTTGGTCCTCAGGGACTGCAAATCCCACCTTCTTGTCCATTTCTTCAATGGCAGCAGGAAGAAAACAAAACAAAAGCTCCCATCACTGCTCCAGCAGCCCCTGGGATGCTGCAGGGATCCAGCCAGCAAAGGAATGCGGGTCCCTTGCCCAAGCCAGTGTGTTCCACCGCATGGGGCCCTACCTCTGGTGCGTGTGCAGTCAGCAGCATCCCTGGGGCCACCAGTTTTCCCTGTTGGTGCCTTCGGGGTAAAAGGCAGAAGGTGTCAGAAAACAAGGAAAGGGGAAAGTGTCCCCTGGTCAAAGGTGGCTGCAAACCCCAGGGACTCCCCATCCTTCCTGCTGCAGAGTGGGCATGCATCCTGGCCCTCATCCCTCCTGCAGATGCTGCAGAGGCACCGGGCATCTCTCCACCATGCCCACAGGGTGCCTGCTGTGTCCCAGACTTGGCTCCCCGCTCACCTTAGGTGAATCCAGGTCCTGCTCTGGAGCTGGGGCTGGGGGGGTCTCCTCCACCAGATGGGAGCCTGGGGGCTGGGGGACCACCCGCTCGATCCAGCTCAGCATCCTGCTGCCTATGGGTAGCAAGATGGGTCTCCAGCGGTGAGAGGCCAGCAGCAGTGGGGGACACCAGGTGCACCAGCTGCTCACACTTTCCCCAGGACAGCACAGTCTCCAAGTCCTGTTTGGGAAAGGTGGTACTGCAGTACAGCCAGACCTGCACCAAAAGAAGTGTGACCAGTAGGTCAAAGGAGGTGATCCTGCCTCTCTGCTCTTTGAGACCCCACTTGGAGCACTGTGTGCAGTTCTGGTGTCGCCAG